ACGGTGAGGTAACGGCTTCTGCCAGCACGTGAGATGTGTACTCACACGACTCGTCACAACATCCACAAGACACGAGCAGGTACGAGGGTTTTGTCGCCAAGCTACCCAAGGGAGATCAATAAGAAATATTTCTTGTTCTCTCACAATCGATACATCAATACCTGGATTTGTCGTGAGGGGTCGGGGTCAATGTGACCCCAGGTGGAGATGAAAACATCACTGTTTAATGTGACCCCCCCCCCCCCCTTCCACAAGGTAGAGATGAAAACATCACTTGTTGTTGTTATCGTTATTCTCCTACACCAGCATCAACAGCAGAAATTGGAAGATTTTTGTTGGCCGAACAAAGCTGAGATTCTCAGTTGATCAGTTGCTGGGCTTGTGGTCGAGGGTAGGAATCTACAAGACCCGAGTCAACAACCAATGTTGAAGTACGGTAATAACGTGTGGTTATGATGGCTGTCCTAGAGTCTGAACGTGTGTATAAGGGCTCGTTCTTTTTAAAACACTTCTTTGGTGTGAAGAAAATCCCGAACATACAATTATCGATGTCAAAGTAACGATGACGCATTGGCTAGTATGTGCACGTGTTATGGCATAAAATAATGACATAAGGAGAGGTTAGCATGAGTAAGGTAATTAGATTGAGGTTATTATACAGATTATGGATTAAATTTAAAAAAAAAAAAGGTGGTGGATTCAACAGGTGGACAGGATTAAACTAGATGAATATTGATTAAACAGGTAGACAGACAGGTGATAGGTTAAACAGGTAAATAGACAGGTGATGGGTTAAACAGGTAGACAGACAGGTGATGGATTAAACAGGTAGACAGACAGGTGATGGGTTAAACGGGTAGACAGACAGGTGATGGGTTAAACAGGTAGACAGGCAGGTGATGGGTTAAACAGGTAGACAGGTGATGGGTTAAACAGGTAGATAGACAGGTGATGGGTTAAACAGGTAGATAGACAGGTGATGGGTTAAACAGGTAGACAGGCAGGTGATGGGTTAAACAGGTAGACAGGTGATGGGTTAAACAGGTAGATAGACAGGTGATGGGTTAAACAGGTAGACAGACAGGTGATGGGTTAAACAGGTATAATTACATGTATGAAACAACTCACCTGCATCATAATTATGACGTAACTGACGGATGACGTTTCGTATCTTGGTCCTTTCAGCTGAGTCGGCAGTTTGTGACAACTGGGGACAGGAGATGGGGAGTAAGTTTTACACCTGTAACTTTTAGAGAAAGTTGTACACCTGTAACTTTAAGATTTAGTTTGACAGAAAACACCTCAATACAAATTGTTGGACATCCTGTAGATAGCAGATTGCACTGGCGATATCATCTACATAAGTTCAGATGATGACCAATGTTTAGCTAGCTAGGATCACATCCCAATCAACACCCCACATGCCCCACACCCCACACACAGAATCAGACCCTGTTGAAACATAAGATGATAGATCAAGCCACGCCCACTCTCGTAGTTTGTGACATCACCAAGGTGAACTCACCAACTTCTGCAACTCGTGAAGTCCCGTCAGACCCTTGTAACTGTGAGCAGACGACAGGCCTGGTCCAGCAGACACGCTGGACACGTCCGAGTGGTCACTGGACGCAACAGGTGAGGATTCTGACAGGAGATAAAAACGTTGTTTACATTATTTTTTAAAAATATTTTTACAAGAGGAATACATAAGCTCGTATAACATTGCAGGATAGTAGACAAAAACTGATTCGACCAAATGCCATCGCTATTAAGTGTTTACAAACACAGGTAAGTTGCAGGTAAAAGTTGTCTTACCAGTCAAACCAGAAAACGACAAACAAATGAATGTGTTTAATTAATTAGTTAATCCAGAACCAATTATGTGATGCTCGGGTTATTAAAATAAACTTTCTCCCAGCCATGGAAAACTAAAAAAACTGGACACGTATGGTCAAGCTGGGTGGGTTAAAAAATACCATGTGCGGCGTTGGTAGCCCAACAACGCAGAAGACAAACTGGATACTGTAATACATCCGTCAAACCAGTGGTTCTCACACTCTAAAACTTCCAGGTGCCAATGTTTAGTAATTATCCTATCACGTATACCTCAGTAATTAATTAAATATTAAAGTTTAAATTTTTTTAAAATATTAGTTATATTCATCTGCCGAGAAACCACCCATACTAATACATTATAAAAGCCCATCTGCCCAGAAACCACCCATACTAATACATTATAAAAGCCCATCTGCCCAGAAACCACCCATACTAATACATTATAAAAGCCCATCTGCCCAGAAACCACCCATACTAATACATTATAAAAGCCCATCTGCCCAGAAACCACCCATACTAATATATTATAAAAGCCCATCTGCCCAGAAACCACCCATACTAATACATTATAAAACCCCGTCTGCCCAGCAACCACCCATATTAACACATTATAGAACCCCATCTGCCATATTTGAGAACCCCTCACACACATTCCAGCCGGCTGCGTTCTACTACACGGTTAATTAATTTACCGTCTTAATTTACCGACTTCCTGTTATAGTTACCTACCCTTGTTTGCTGTGATTGCCTACATATGAAAGGCGCTCACACTTTTTACGCTAACTAGCACCATAAAAGTCAATTATACTACACTCCCCCTCCCCCACACTACTTATCCAAAAACATTTAGGTGTTATTCCCTATCCCTCCCCCCATATAACTGCCCCCCCCCCCCCCATTATTTGGAGTAGATTAGTGTGCTGGTAACGTGCAGCTGATTGCCGTGTCTCACCAAGTTTAACCCTCTATGTGTGGAGTTTTTGTCTCACCAAGTTTAACCCTCTATGTGTAGAGTTTTTGTCTCACCAAGTTTAACCCTCTATGTGTGTGTGTGTGGGGGGGGGGGAGTCAAACGTCCCCTACCCCCATTGTTAGTACATACAAAGTAACTTGCCCCCCCCCCCCCCCCATAATTGTCACTGAGTCATATGTTTTGCCGTCATTAGTAGAGTTATTTGCCCCTACTGCCAGAATAAGAAGATTGAATGCCCATGTGGTTTAAAGATGTGGCCAAAGTACAGACGTTGACCAACTGACCATCATGAATATGTTGAGACAACTGACACGGTCGTGTGCGGTCTTGCTTAATTTGTTAGAGCAAAAAAAAAAATGAGCAGTAAAAACACCCAAAGCACCAGCAATGTATTTAGCGATTGAATAGCTATTTCCTTTATAAATAAAACATATGAGGGTCCTATACCATGCTACACGTTACTTTCTTTACTCCCAGGTCGAGGGTTGGTACCGAGGGCAAAAAACGTACGACTAACGTGATTTATTGAATCTGGTTTATGGTTTTTATAGCAGTTTCGGTCTGACCTCTTCACGCTCAGAGAAACCTGGGAAGGACAACAGGAGAGATTATTCTCCCAAAAAATTTATTACCTCCCCTTCCTAGTAGAAAACGTCTGCATTAATGTTTTAAAAGTTGAGACCTGATTTAAACAAGTGGGTCAGTGGTCAGTTGGTGGAGTAGAGTTTATCTTGGCTAAGTGTTCATTTAGTAGAGTAACGTTTATTAAAGTCAGTAACAATGGGTCCCACTGTGGGGGGGGGGGGGACTTGGAAAGGTGAAAGGACGAAAAACCTCGTCAGTCATTCACCGTCTGCACCGTGCCACACAGAACCCAGTAAAACATCAACTCACCACAACTCAGCTACAGCCGTCCTGAAGTGGGGAATGTTACACATCATAAACACATCACAAACACATCACCAGAACATACGACACACCAAAACAGCAGCACGCACACACCGTGCTAACACCGCCGCATTAACTCCACTCTACTTGAGCTGATTCAGCTCCATCCATCTGGTGCACTCACGGGCAGGGGCGGAGACTTAGCACGTGACATATTGACCCGGGGGGGGGGAGAACAACAGAGGTGGAGACAGAATATATCACATATTGAGGGGGGGGGGGGGGGAGGGGCAGAGACGGAGATGTAACACGTGACATATTTAGGGGTGTTAGCGGTGATGCATGTGTGAGAGGGAGGGGTTGACTTAAAACCGAAAGTATTCCGCCATTTTTGTTGCATGGACTTGCAAGAAAAAAAAAGCAGTTGGGTACAGAAGACGTTTTACTAACATGTAAAGCAGACGACAGACGGATTGGCCGTGTGCACTTGGAACTTATGTGGCGAGACACAGCCGGGATATATGGATGGGGGGGGGGGGGCGGGGGGGGGGGCGGGGGGTCATACAACACGTGCATTACAACTGTGTTGTTATTATTTGTTTTCTTGTATTTAAAACGTCGGGAATCTATCGCGCTGGTTGGCTGACTAGTGACTGCCCACAGCGGGTTGGCTGTGTGTCGGGTTCGCTGTGTGTCGGGTTCGCTGTGTGACCTTTGACAGCGGGTTGGCTATGACCCATCTGAAGGGTGACAGTTTACATTTGAATCATGGCCGTTTAGCCCCAAACCACGCGACCAACAAATATTCTCAACCAACAAACCAACACATGGTTTCCCCCCCCCCACTCCAACACCTTCCTTATAACCTTTGAGAAATGTAATTTTTTGACCTTTGACCTTTCTCCATTAAAAAGTCCACCCAGTAGCCGAGTATGACGACAAAAAGTTTTGTTTATCGTCCACCAGCTGTTTTTATTTATGGGATATTCCCGTTCGCCTTTTGATTTATTTCCATTTCTTTAAGTTCTGGCCAAACATGAACATGTTCCCAGTAATCGTCCAGTGAACATCTGTTGTCTTTGATCAATCTTAATCCGGTATCGATTCCACGCACGTCAAGTACCGAGATTAACCGAGTAAGTCTCACGTTTGATAACGGCTTTTTCAACGTTTTCAACCAACTAAAGGTCTAAACTTGTAATCAATACATAGCTGAAATAAAGTTCTTGTTTTTCAACTGTTTAAAGGTGTATGAAATGCATTTCCAAAATAAATTTCATATAAGCATATGACCGTGGCTTATTTAGCCAAGTCGTTAGGCTGTCGGACATCATGTGGTCGTCACTAGATATAGTTCAAGAGTTGCGATGGTCAAAATTTATTTTTAAACAACAGTGAGTTTGGAGATTTTATTGGTATCGTAACTTGTGTATTTCTGTCATCCTAAATTTTAAACTTCTATCTGTCACAGACCTTTACAAGTTTGGTCACGCTAGAGAAGTGATTTTTGTCACGCCAGGGAAAAGATTTTTGTCACGCTAGGGAAAAGATTTTTGTCACGCTAGGGAAAAGATTTTTGTCACGCTAGGGAAAAGATTTTTGTCACGCTAGGCAAAAGATTTTTGTCACGCCAGGGAAAAGATTTTTGTCACGCCAGGGAAAAGATTTTTGTCACGCTAGGGAAAAGATTTTTGTCACGCCAGGGAAAAGATTTTTGTCACGCTAGGGAAAAGATTTTTGTCACGCTAGGGAAAAGATTTTTGTCACGCCTGGGAAAATATTTTTGTCACGCCAGGAAAAAGATTTTTGTCACGCCAGAGAAAAGATTTTTGTCACGCTAGGGAAAAGATTTTTGTCACGCTAGGGAAAATATTCTCTCACCTTGGATGCCGGTGCTCCGTAAATGGTGACCTCTGACCTCCAGCATTTTGGCGCGGTTTCGTTCAGCAGACTCATCAACGGCAATCTGAAAAACAAGGAGAGATTTGGTAGAGCAGGATTTGGTAGAGCAGGATTTGGTAGAGCAGGATTTGGTGGAGCAGGATTTGATAGAGTAGGATTTGATAGAGCAGGATTTGGTGGAGTAGGATTTGGTAGAGTAGGATTTGGTAGAGCAGGATTTGGTAGAGTAGGATTTGGTAGAGTAGGATTTGGTAGAGCAGGATTTGGTAGAGCAGGATTTGGTAGAGCAGGATTTGGTACAGCAGGAATTGGTAGAGTAGGATTTGGTAGAGTAGGATTTGGTAGAGCAGGATTTGGTGGAGTAGGATTTGGTAGAGTAGGATTTGGTAGAGTAGGATTTGGTAGAGCAGGATTTGGTAGAGCAGGATTTGGTAGAGCAGGATTTGGTAGAGTAGGATTTGGTAGAGCAGGATTTGGTAGAGTAGGATTTGGTAGAGTAGGATTTGGTAGAGTAGGATTTGGTAGAGTAGGATTTGGTAGAGCAGGATTTGGTAGAGCAGGAATTGGTAGAGCAGGATTTGGTAGAGTAGGATTTGGTAGAGCAGGATTTGGTGGAGTAGGATTTGGTAGAGTAGGATTTGGTAGAGTAGGATTTAGTAGAGTAGGATTTGGTAGAGTAGGATTTGGTAGAGTAGGATTTGGTAGAGCAGGATTTGGTAGAGCAGGATTTGGTAGAGTAGGATCTGGTAGAGCAGGATCTGGTAGAGCAGGATTTGGTAGAGCAGGATTTGGTAGAGCAGGATTTGGTAGAGCAGGATTTGGTACAAATACATTGTTGAAACAATCTAGGTTGTAGATCTTTATGTAAGATTTTCTTGCCAGTGTTCTTAAAGTAATTATAGAAAAGTTAATATTTTGGGGCAGTGGTTTTTAGTGACACCTTGTGTGACAGAGGTGTGTAGTGACACTTTGTGTGGTAGAGGTGTGTAGTGACCCCATCTGTAACAGAGGTCTAACAATCGGCCGACGGCCAGTAGACAATTATTTTTTTTGTATTTCCAAAACTTTAATCTGGTTATTTCCCATATTAAAGGAACTGATAACATTGTAGCTGACTGTTTGTCAAGAATGTAACACTTTTTTTTTTATATCCACATTGATCATGTGAAATTTTTGTGGTTTATTATGACCATTTACAGATGATTTGTTTGGGTGATTTTCCCTGTCTCATGAAATGAGTTTTTTGTTTTCTTTTTTTTTAATATTTATATTTTATTTTGAAGTTACATAGATTCTTATATGATCAGCCGTTTAGGTACTGCAAACAATTATTTTTTTTATACAAATTAAAATTACATTTCTTTAAATTATTTTTTAAAATATTTTTTTATCTATTTCTTTTTTTGTGCACTTTTGGTAGAAATGCAATATTTAAATAGAGGCGTGTACAAGGGAATCTAATATATAAAGCTCAGTTCTGTATGTAATGCATTTGTATGTCGTTGGAATTGTACGAATTTAAGTGTTAGAAAATTAGCGTGCGCATTTGTCTAAATTTATGAGCTAAAAAATTACCATTGAAAGTGTTGGGAAATAATTTTCATTTTTCAAATTATAGTAATAATTGTCGGCATGTTCATTCAACACAAGTTTTAAAAAAAATATCATCTTTTACAAAAATTCTAATTATGTCTTTATTTAGTCCTATAGCACTTACTTCCCTTTGATAAATTAGGAAAAACACAATTACTTCCCTTTATAAGACCATTGCATTCCGTGAAAATAATTTACTTTTTAATTACTTTGTTTTGGTGTTGGGAAAAAAAATAATTACATAATTAGCGGGGATTGATCAAGTGCAAATGTTGTAGGTATTTTACGGATAAGCTTGGAGTATTAAAATTGTTTATTAAATTGAAACAGGCGCGTTCGTTTAAGTGAGTGCAAAAGACTGTGAATAAGTTGGGGTACTATAGTCGTTCATTAAGCTAAAACAGGTGATTCCGCCCCGGGCGTTTATGTTCGCGTTAGTGTTTTCTTTGTGTTTAGGTGGGTTTGCGTTAGTGGTTGCGTTTTAATTTGGTTCGTTTTTGTTCTTTCTTTTTTCGTTTTTGTTTGTGTTTTTTTTGTTTGGGTTTGTATTTGTGTTTTTGGTTGGTTTTGCGTTTGGATTTGGTTTGTTTTCGTTTGCTTTTTTCGTTGATTTTTTTTTTTGTTGGTATTGGTGTTTGTGGTTGGGTTTGTTGTTAGGTTTTTGTTTTCGTTTGCTTTTTTGTTTGTTTTTTCTTTGTGTTTGTATTGGTGTTTGTGGGTGTGGTTGTGTTTGTTGTTAAGTTTTTGTTTTCGTTTGTATTTGTAATTGTGTTAGCGTTATGTTTGCGTTTTGTTGTTTTGGTTTTGGTTGGTTGTGGTTTGGGTGGGCAATGCCGGGTTTATGATGATTACTAAACACACAGGTAATGGTCTTTAACAGAAAGGTTTTTCACAGAAGCCAGAGCAGGGCCTGGCCGGGACGGCTAGTATTTGTTATAAATCAAAAGCTTAAACAAAATTTCGATGATTAAATAGTAACTATTTAATAAAGCTAATAGTTTCTAATTTAAAATAAAGTTGAAAATAATTTAGAAATTATTGAAGTTAACCATTTGAATTAGTAACTGAAAACAATATATAATTATAATATCTGCAATTAAAAACAATGATCAGTTTATTATTTATCTCAAGTACAGCTATATTTCTCTGTATTTTTATAACTGTTATTTTTTGTCTCCCTTATATTTCTCTGTATTTTTTTAAATACAGCTATTATATTATTTGTCTCCCTTGGCCATTTAGTAATTTTAAGATGGCAAATAGCCCACCATCAAATCCAATTAAAATTAACTAATATTCCACATCTAAATGTTTAACCAATGATAAAAAAATTATATTAATTATTGACCACTACTTCTTCTTCTTCTTCTTCTTCGTTCTTAATTTTTGAATATGGTGGAGGATTCAGACAACAAGTCCAACTTCGTGGACAAACCGGACTGTGGTTTCCAGTTTGTCAGGTGTCCCATATAATTTTTTCCCTGAGTGGGGTGGGCTGGGGCCAGTGTCTGCCTCTTGCCTGGCTATACAGAGTACAATCCTGGAGTATGTGCTCCGTGTTTTCCGGGGCCTTGCCACTACAGTTACATATCTATCGCGGTCTATATAGTTATATTTGTTTCATGTTCATATATTGCACATATTTGCTCTAATTTTCGCGACTACCAGTTTGGAAATCTCAGCATGATTGTATTCGGTTGGGTTCGAATCCACTCAACTCTAGTGACTCTAGTCGGGGAAATTCACCGCGGCTGGGCGTAGTGCTGAACATTAACTAGACGTTCGTATGTCGAGGTAAGAAAAGGTGAACTCTACTTCATTTATCTTTTATAGACCTTCTGGTTTGAATGTGTAACTTCTACATTCAGGACTTGAACAATAGTTTACGAACGTGTGGCTTAGTTCTAAAAATAGACTGCACTTACTCACCCCATTAACCTGACTGTCAGGTGTGTTACGGATCAATGAACTCTAAGAAATGGTTCACTGATCTATTATGCACGTGAAGTATGCGTGTAATCGATTACAACAGGATCGATACCAAGGTATCTAAACAACCGACATAACGCGAATTCATTATTTATCCCACTCTGTACAGTTGCTACGGAAGTAATTACACAATTACCTATGCTAATGTATGTACATAACTTAAACCAGCTGCTCTTGTAGCGTGAGGGACGACAATTATCAAAACAAATTCATGTCGTGGTCTGAAGAGTCTTACTTTAACTATGTTTATTTGTTTTATTTGTTTTATTTGTTTTATTTGTTTTATGTGTGAGCGGATGTACAAGAAGACTACATTACTGTCTTCATTTGTTCACTAAACAGCAGAAAGCTAATAAGGGTAAGGGAAACAATCAGAGACAAGTGTAGGCAAACGCTATCGTCTCCCTTGCCTCTGATGGTTTTATAAATAACTTCTTCAGGGTCCAACCACAGATCCATAGATCTGAAACATCCACAGATAAAAACTAATAGATCTAAAACATCCACAATTATCCTCTGGGATAAAGTTAAGAATGCTGTGTCAGCAGTTTGACATAACGAGATGGACATTATTTTAACAAGACAACACAAAACAATGTTTACTACAGCACTAAATCTCGTGACTAAACACACGGATCAAAGGTGGTGAGTACAGCTGTACGACTTGACCCTAAACCTCCCAGCCACCCACATGGGTTAGTGTAGTTAGTCGTCCCCCCCCCTCCCAGCCACCCACATGGTTAGTGTAGTTAGTCGACCCCCCCATCGACCTACATGGGCTAGTATAGTTAGTCAACCTCCCCCCCCCCCCCCCCATCGACCCACCTGTGTTAGTGTGATTAGTCGACCCCCCCTCTCCCAGAGACACACCTGAGTGTAGTTTAGTCGACCCCCCCCTCCCAGCAACACAACTGAGTGTAGTTAGTTGACCCCTCCCCTCCCCCCCCCCCCCCCCACACCTCCCAGCGACACACCTGAGTGTAGTTAGTCGACCCTCCAATGTTCTAGTACAGTAGGTCAAAACTCACATAAACACTAGACCTAAAATAGATCAGCCGTGAAATGTTACCATCAAAGATTAATCAACCGCCATTTTAATCTCGGCTAATCCCCTACGTTTCAGATTAACGAAACATAAAACACAAATTTATAACTCTACCCACTGGTAATGGCACTAAATCAGAAATTCAGTTCCATTAACATTCGTACACACACAAAAAAAAGCTTTTCAAAAGGCGGTAAAAAGGTGCACAGAAGCAGACGACAAAGCTTCACGTCTGCCGGCGAACGTTTCGTTGTTAACTTGTGAGGGTCAGCTATAGATTTTTTTTTACCTCCTGCATTGAAGATCTCTAACTGGAATACAAATGAAGTCGTGTGTGCATTGAGCGGGCGGGTGATTGACGTCATTAGGGCCTGTCTTTGGGAAGGTCGTGTTTGTTTAACGAGAGACCCACCCGTGCTGCGAGATCCCTACCGAGACTTGTAAGGTTTCTTTATTTGCCCGAGAAACTTATATTAAGACAACATTTATATGGAGCTTTTCAAACTGTAGATCGAACGTGGTCGTGTAGTAGAGCAAAGGAAAACTAGGTCGGGGTTTGTTGGTTTGAATGCTGAACCAGATTTTTTAAAAATTATATGTCAAAGCAGAGTCATACAGCCCTAATTGGTACTCAGCAGTAGGTAACCTACATAAACTTTTGTATTTCCTGAAAAATAAACGGACCCGCGGCCGTCAAAGCTGCTATAACATCTCATAATAAAGCTGGATATAATTGTTTAAATTATTTAATACGGTGGGGGGGGGGGGGCATTAAACAAAGGGCGTCCTATTAACGAAACAAACATTTTCTACTGAGTTCTAAGCTGACCACTTAACCTTTGACATCAACCATCGGATTATGTTTTCTAAAATAGCAAAGTTAGCTGAATAAAATTGGACATATCGGTGCTTTAGCTGCACCAAGAATTTACCAAGCGAAGGATCTTTACATGAACGTCTAACGGACAAAGGGAAGTAACAAATAAAATTCTCGCTGCTGACTGGTTACCGGGATTGTTGTAAGTGGGCGGACAAAGTAAAGGTGAGGCTGACCTTGTTAGATGAGGACATTGGACAGGGCCATATGTGGAAGATGGGGCCCTTTACGCAGGTAAGAGGGTCACAGAGAACAACCGAAGGGGCCCTAGGGTGAAGGTCGATGACGGGGCCCTAAGGTGAAGGTCGATGACGGGGCCCTAAGGTGAAGGTCGATGACGGGGCCCTAGGTACAAGACTGTTGGCAGCCGTTAATTGGCAACTAACGAAAATCGCCGTGAAAATTATTTTTAAGAGAAGGTTAACTTCTCCTAAATTATGTACAATCCATTGGTCATTCTGGTCTGTTGGTCATTCTGGTCCATTGGTCATTCTGGTCGATTGATCATAGACCAATGACGTCAACCCGATTCTACCGTGTATGCCTAGACTTCTATTAGATCAAAAAGCCATTCATGACATTCTAAAACTGAAGTGGGCATTGCGATCAGCTAGGCTAAAAATAACCACGGTTAATATTAGTCTATCGAGTTAGCCACGGATGGTTGACCATCTGCAGGTGAATCAATCGCCAGTCAAATAACCAGCGACTGATTTACAACACTGGGTTGGTCCAGATAATGACCTTTATTTAATTGGCTGGACAGATTCAGCAGATGTGAAACACCACACCCAGAGGCCGGTAGTTACACTACACACAGAAAGCGACAAAACACTAGATGGCAAATAATTTCTGATGGTATCAATTCTTAATTTAAACCAGCCACATTTCTGGTAGAAATAAACTTTAACCTTGAGATTTTTTGTGAAATGTAAAAAAAAAGTTTTAATTAAGAGGTGCAAACACAACACAACACAACCATAACAAGCTGGCGTAAACCGAAGGTGAACCGAGTGCAGGATGAAGTTTGAATGCGAGGGTTTCTTTTATCTCATGACAAGTTAACAGGTCACGTCGCTTCACACTTTGTCACAAAAATGTCAAGACGACCTAATTAATTGCTTTAGCTTAGGTTTTAAAAAATAAAGTTTTAAGCCATTGTAGGTTAGAGAGTGTGTTTGTGTTAGGTGTGTATGTGTCTACGTGAGTCTATGTAAGTGTCCATGTGTGTATGTATGTGTGTATGTAAGTGTCCATGTGTATGTATGTATGTATGTGTGTCTGGTTCCATGGGTTCCCCACCCATAAATCCTTCACTACATCTTCCAACACTCCATGTACAATATTAGATCTCCCTACCCTATGGGAGCAGTACACGTGACTTGTGTTGCTATAATTATCCCAACTACAAAAACTGTACACACATACACAAACATGATACATACTGGGACAAGGAACATGGAAGCTGTGAAGACAAGCATGTAGCCTAAAACTTTCGACCAACACGAACTTACCATATCTCTAGAGCCAGCTAGTCCAGTTTCGGTCAACAGCCTCGATCTGGTGTCCGTGGCCGCCGGAGTTGACCCCCGTCTTGACTTTGACCTTGAGTAATCCACGATGCTAGAGGACGCTCTACGGACCGTTGATTTCAGGTACGCCACGGCATCCGTTTCGTCAAAACTGTCGTCATCAGCGGCGGCGCTGTAATCCAGTGCTGAGACCTGGTTTACCAGTCGGGAGTCGAACCTGCTCTCTTTGTGATCTGAGATGTGGGACCTGAGATGGGCCTGGTCAACATGCTGAGTGACCGCTCGTTGACCCACACTGCTGGGCACCCGGCGCGGCTTCAAGTCCGACATGGGGTGCAAATAGATATCACGTGACTTCCGGTCATCGGAAGTGAGAGCGTGGCTAGATGGGATAGGACCGTCGCTCAGGAACTGGGGGCTGTAGAGAGACCCCCGCCTTTTGTCTTTTGACCCCCCTGGGTGTGAGGTGTACTTAGACCCCCCTGGGTGGGAGGTGTACTTAGACCCCCCTGAGTGTGAGGTGTACTTAGACTGGATGTTCTTCACGTTTTTCAAAGCCTCGGCCAACTTTTCACTCGCGTCCAAACTCGTGTCCGGAAATGAAAACCGTCTGTATTCGGTTGAGGGTTTGACGAGCTTCTTAGCGAGGGAAGGAGAAAGGTTTGGCGGGAAAGATTTAGCAGACGACGATCTGGTCTGAGAGTGTTGGGTGGAGAAGTCAAACACGTCATGTCCAGAAGATCGTCGGGTACTTTTATAGACGGCCTGGCCCGCAGGTGAGACACCAGGTGAGACACCAGGTGTAAAAACATCTTCGAATGAAAGCGAAGGTTCACGAGGTCGATGAAATGGACTGTCCACGCTTCTGACGTCACCGTGGTCGTCACCTGAAGCTCGACCTTTGACGTCATAGTTCGTCTGTACCTTGTTTGATGATGTAAAACCTAAAGGAGGTAGAGAATTGAGAATAGAATTTGTAACGTCTTCTCGTTTTGTCGTGGGTGGGTTGCGATCCCCGCCCGTGTGGCTGCCATTCAGATGTTCCGCGGCGCTGGTTGACGCAGGAGGATTGCGAGGCCAGTCGTCAGAGGATCGATGGAAATCTGATTGTAAGAGTTGATCGATGGGCTGGGTTTGGCGCTTGGAGAGTTCGTTGACCTTGAGGAGACTTTTTGACCGATTCAACAGGTGGGTCATCTTCTTCTGGCCACTGTAGAGGTCAGAGAGAAATTTGCTCTTGGTCCGCTGGTCAGTTGCGGCATCGGAGGTCGCGTCAGTGAGATCCGGAGATCCCAAATTGGTGGTGTTTGGTTCAGTGTGAGAACCTGTTGAGTGAGACGTGGCTGGAGGCTCAGGCGTGAGAACCCTCGAGGACGCTGACGTATGAGGCTTCAGAGTTTCTGAACTGAGAACCCTCGAGGATTCGGACGTGTGAGTCTTTGACGCTTCAGAATTTAGAACCCTCGCTGACTCGGATAAAGGGACGGAATGAGTTTCTGATTCTGAAAGAAGTTGTCGGCCTTTTGCCCTTAGGGCGGAGAAAGATTCAGACCTGCTTTTTCTGGCCTCGTTTTGAGCAGCGCTGGTCACATGACGGGAACCGGAAGTGGGTGACGGGTAATGTTTTCTGAGGTTTCCTTCAAAATCCAGCCGCACCGGGTTGTCGGTTGGGTGGTTGGCCGGGTTGTGGAGTGACCTGTCATGGTCTGGTTTTGTTGCCGATGTCACGTGGTAGCTCTCCCTCCTGCGTGCCTTATGTGTCGCTAACAGCGCGGGGTGGGGCGGGCTGGCAGTGTTGGCAGACGACGATGATGAAATCTGTTTCCAGCTTGGACTGGTCACGTGGTCGGGGTACACAGAGTGGGATCTCGGCCTCTGATTGGTCCCCGCCCCCATGGAGCCACGCCTCTGCAAGCTGTTGTTGATGTCATTGGCCATCTGCAGGGCCGCGTGGGCGTCCGCGGACTTGGGGGAGGGGCTGGAGGGGAGGCCACTCTCGGATAGCATGACAGAGTTACGTTTGATGACGCGGTAGGCCCCCATGATCATGGACGACCTCCGCCTCTGGTCGGGTCCGAACTCGGGGGTCATCTGGGGGACGGCGGTGGTCGCCATGTTGGTGACCTGATTGTCTGAACTGTCCTGGTCGTCACAGTAGTAGCCGCTGTCCGTCGAGCTACCTGCTACATCTAAGCTACACAAGTCCGCTGGGACAGAATGGCTACAGGCTTCTAGTTTCTCAGCCTCGTTTTGGCTAAAAGTTTCATCTCGGCATTTTCCGTTGATTCTCCTCTCCCTGTTGGTCAGTCGGACGCGCTTAACTTCTGCCTCTGAGTTTGACCGTCTGATGGGCGTCTGGGCATGACCATTGTGTAAGTTCAAGGACGACGGTTGCGTTCCCGGGGTGGCAAATCGTTTCAAGGCCGCGCGGATCTTCCGCCTCTCCGGAAAACTTGAGCTCCGCTCTAGCTGTGGACCAGAGAAGAAAAGATGAGTTTTTTACATCTCAACAACAAGCTCGGAAAATGAGGTAAAGAAACGTCCATATGTATGTCTGGTCTGCTGAAGTCAAGAAATGTCGATATCTATTACAGGCCTGCTACAATAAACAAACCTCCCTCTTCCCCCCCCCCCCCCCCCAACCCACATGTCAACGCCTGCAAGTTCTGTATACCTGACGTGTAGATAATCATCAACATATCTGAGAACTTTCCAGACAAATTTCCATAATTCTGTACTGTTGGTCCGTGGGGCGAGGGGCCTTTTGAAACATATTTTAATAACACAGAGGACAGGTAAGGGACCAGGTAAGGGGACCAGGTAAGGGGGCCAGGTAAGGGGGACAGGTAAGGGGACCAGGGTACATTGTTGAGGCGCTCTGTGTTTGGTATGATCAAATCGATCGATCGGTGTGTTCGATAACCAATGACGTTAGATATGGCAGCTCTTGTGTAAATTCTATGTGACTCTTGTGTAAGGTCACGTGGGTTGAGGGAGGGGACAGGTGAGAACAGGTTGTGTAGTGCAAACAATTAACACCTGTTTCTTAATCAGACGATCAGGGTAAGATAACATGAGTTTAAGAAGGTAACATTTCCTGTCGGACATACCAAAAGGTGAAATATATAACTGGTCACGTATTTAGAGATTTCGTCGAGCGGACAGACAAGATAATCAATTTAGTCATTAATATATGTAAGTAGCCACAAGCTGAATAGTAAAGGTAAATAGCCACAGGTAAATAGCCACAGGTAAATGTCCACAGGTAAATATCCACAGGTAAATATCTACAGGCAAATAGCCACAGGTAAATATCCACAGGCAAATAGCCACAGGTAAATAGTAAAGGTAAATAGTAAATACTATATAGCCACAGGTTGATTGCCGCAGGTGAGACAACCTAGGTAATTGGTTCTGTGAGATTAGTCTAACGACATGTCTTCCCAAAGGTTTAGGATTAAGACTATGATTAGAGCTAAAAGTATTGTAAGGATCAGAATTGGGACAAAGTTTAAATCATTAGCGGTCAAGTGGATACAAAGTAGGCCTATCAATGCTATAGTCTAAATGTAGGACGAGTGGACACTGGTTGAGTTCAGAGTTGTCCAACATCTGGAGCGGCACTCCCAGATACGCGGACAATCAAGTGGTGGTAAAACTGTTTGGTCAATTTTTGTTTTGTACCACTGTCTTGTCACATTTAGTTTGATTTTTTTATAAGTAGTCAGCCCAAGGTCGTGAACTTGTATTGAGCTGCTCAAGGTCGTGAACTTGTGTTGACCTGCCGAAGGTAGTGAACTTGTGCTGGCCTGCCCAATGTCGTGAACTTGTGTTGACCTGCTCAAGGTCGTAAACTTGCGTTGACCTGCCGAAGGTCGTGAACTTATGTTGACCTGCTCAAGGTCGTGAACTTGTGTTGACCTCATGGCAGGTCACCTAGTGAGCTATCTCAGTCTAGTTGATGTAAATGAGGTCACGGGGATCCTACAAGATTTACTCGAGGTAAATCTGGGTCAACTGTTTGATTGTCTGGAGGTTGCCGGGGAAGCTACAAATATTGTGTCAGGCCCCCCCCCCCCTCCGTCCCACCTGTAATCACGGTACCTGCCGGTGTATGACCAGTGCCGATTTGTGGGAAGTTATGTTTGTCTGTCATTGTCGGCCGGAGACCGAATGTTTGTCCACGATCGAGTGTCTGTGGAGACAGAGCCTACAGACAGGGCCGAGTCTACCGACAGAGCTTGATAAAATACAGCGTACTTTTGTTACGTGGAACGAGGCGTGGTCGAGAGAAAATATAGCGTTACGAGCCGGCCCGCGGCATAACATACGCCGCTATTTAGTTGTTTCTAATTTTCAATAATTCATAATTTGTGAATTCGACAGTACCAACGCTGACACTGAAAATATTTCTTTAAAACACTATAAGTAGCTCGTTAAGGACCATAACCCCCCCCCCCTTCCTTCCCCTCCCCCCCCCCCTACGTTTAAAATCGTTGGCTCTGCTTGTAAACATTTAGAGTGAACACAGCTCACTAAAACCATGTAGGGGTGGGGAGGTAGGGAGAGCGTTTGCAGCTTGTTTTCTAACGGCTCGAAGAGGAGAATTATATATATCGATGTGAGTGGCCGAGCCCCCATCACACTTGCTCGAAAAAATTTCAAAAGTAGATATTAAAATAGGCTAGAAAATGTTGGAACAGATGAAATAATGAGATAGATCAGATAAACTGATGAGATAAACTGATGAGTTAAGTTGGTGAGATGAGCTGATTAGATGAGCTAATGAGATAAACGCTACACAACACAACTTATGAAATGTTGAAAGGATGATATTTTCTGCAGTGAGATAACTGGCTGAGTTACTTCGTCTAATAACTTTAATAATTAGATATAATTAGAATAATTATTTTTTTCAATCGTTAGGCAACTTGAACAGCACGCATCTCCTGTACCATCCCATCATCTCCCCAGTATAACCGATCAGTTTCTTCCAGACTTTTTTCTCCGGGGGGGGGGGCACTTGAAATCTTCGGGGGGGGGGGGGGGGGGCGGACACTGTTAAAAGTATATATTTTCTATATAAATTATATAAATTTCATTTCGTTCGGGGGGGGGGGGGGGGCGGTAAAAAAAATTCGGGGGGGGGGGGGCTTCCGGCTAACCAAATTGTCTAATCATCCAGCTCCTCTGTTTGCCTAACTGTCCACTCCCCCCCCCCCCCCCCAGTTTGTCCAAATGTCCGGCTTCCCACGACGCCGATCCCCAATCGCCGCCTCTAATCTAAGCCCCGACGCCCGTCCATTCACCAACAGCAAATCTTGAAGTTTGAAGTGTACGAGTCGACCACTTGTCAGTCGCCGGGAAATCTTTACAAATGTTGGCCAGATATCTACAGCTTACAACAGAGGGGTAGCGACCCTTACCGGCGCCCGGGGACAAACTTTCGATTTGCACTCCCCCCTTTCAAACATTCGATTTGCACCCCCCCCCTTCAAACTTTCGATTTGCACCCCCCACCTCAAGCTTTCAATTTATTTTTCCAACCCATTTTCGCGGCCCCTAAGGTCGGCGCCCGGGGACATATGTCCCCCCCCGCCCGTCCCCCTCGCTACGCCTCTGGCTTACAGATGGCCATCTTTACAAATGTTGGCCAGATATCTACAGCTTACAACAGACGGCCATCTTTACAAATGTTGGCCAGATATCTACAGACGGCCATCTTTACAAATGTTGGCCAGATATCTACAGCTTACAGACGGCCATCTTTACAAATGTTGGCCAGATATCTACAGACGGCCATCTTTACAAATGTTGGCCAGATATCTACAGCTTACAGACGGCCATCTTTACAAATGTTGGCCAAATATCTACAGCTTACAGACGGCCATCTTTACAAATGTTGGCCAAATATCTACAGCTTACAGACGGCCATCTTTACAAATGTTGGCCAAATATCTACAGCTTACAGACGGCCATCTTTACAAATGTTGGCCAAATATCTACAGCTTACAGACGGCCATCTTTACAAATGTTGGCCAAATATCTACAGCTTACAGACGGCCATCTTTACAAATGTTGGCCAAATATCTACAGCTTACAGACGGCCATCTTTACAAATGTTGGCCAAATATCTACAGCTTACAGACGGCCATCTTTACAAATGTTGGCCAAATATCTACAGCTTACAGACGGCCATCTTTACAAATGTTGGCCAAATATCTACAGCTTACAGACGGCCATCTTTACAAATGTTGGCCAAATATCTACAGCTTACAGACGGCCATCTCTACAAATGTTGGCCAGATATCTACAGCTTACAGACGGCCATCTTTACAAATGTTGGCCAGATATCTACAGCATACAACAGAAGGCCATCTTTACAAATGTTGGCCAGATATCTACAGACGGCCATCTCTACAAATGTTGGCCAGATATCTACAGCTTACAGACGGCCATCTTTACAAATGTTGGCCAGATATCTACAGCATACAACAGAAGGCCATCTTTACAAATGTTGGCCAGATATCTACAGACGGCCATCTCTACAAATGTTGGCCAGATATCTACCGCATACAGACGGCCATACACGATCAAACATTTCTCCCGTGCAGAATGCCAGTGGAATGTCTTGTATTTTTATCTCTGGGTTGATATGGCCACAAAAAAAATAATCCGTTTGTTTTTATCCCGCTGATAAAATGATTAATGTTTTTCTTTTGTCAATGGGTATCATGTTTAATAAAGCACTCTGGGATATGGGGGCCATAACTCCAGATTTGAAGCAATCGGTGGGAGATGGGATTACAAAAGATTATCGCATTTGTATTGACGCGATTTTAAACAGAAAGTATGTGGGGGGGGGGGGGGGGGATGTAACGGTACAACCTTGCCGAGTATAAGCGAAAGTACGCTGCAATTGTTTTGTTTATCGGAGAACATGCCATTATGGCGTGGAGATTATTTCTGCAAATTATGCATTAATTATGACAAAACTAAACAACAAGGCCTTTATTAGGGTTAAGAAGTTACGAGTCTGTTCAGATTTATTATTCTTGACATATTTTTGGCACAATAGGAACAGTCAGAGGCGTAGCGAGGGGGGGGAGTACATATGTCCCCGGGCGCCGACCTTAGGGGGGAGGCACCAAACTGAAAGTTTGAGGGGGGGGGTGTGCAAATGAAAAGTTCGACGGGGAGGGGGGGGGGGGTGCAAATCGAAAGTTTGTCGATGGGCGCCGGGAAGGGTCGCTACGCCTCTGGGAACAGTGGAATAGCAAACAGCTTAGTAATGTGCTGTTTTCTTTTCCAAATGTATTCTATCTCGTTCTACGAGGCGTGTGTAATAATAGCATGGGAGATCACCCCCGGTGTACTAAAGCGGAGCTATAGAAGATAACTTGGTGTACATTAAAAGTCCGCCCTTTGAACATGTACATATAATTCAAGGGACTGTATCCCAACACCAT